GAGAGAGAGATTTGGGAAGAAAGTAAATGAGGATCATGAAGGAGAGCAGAAAAGTAAAGAGAAATAGAAACCATTTATATAAACATTATACATTGAAGGGAAACTGTAAGGAAAGGGTGGCTGAACACTGGAAACAGGAAAACAGAGATGGAGAGAAGTTGTGGTTCCCAAGTTTATTTGGCTTGCCACTCCCTTTTCTGGGAAAAAAAACAACAAAACAATTACTCAGGGCACCCTGGCAATTAAAACCTTTTGTACTATAGCCTATAATCCAGGATGACGTATAGGTATCTGTTTCTATAGTACCCACCCCCAACATTCTAATGCCTATCTCCCCCTGCCCTCCTGCCATGGGTGGGGGGTGTATTTCCCACTTTGGGAAACACTGAACACAACTGAAATATACCATGTGCCAAATTATCATGGTGTCAAAGATTTCAGTGATGTGCTTTCCCAGAAGGGTCGTTTCCATCTTGGCCTCCTGTGCTCGGTTTTGCCGTGGGGTAGTGGTCTCTTGAAGATGAGAACAAAGAGCGACACCTCTCAAGAACGGGAGTATACTCAGCCGAATAGAATGGATATGAAATTTCTTTCATGCACAAGAAGTTGGACTAAAAATGGAAAACGCCAATTCTGTCTAGCAGATTTCAACTGGGGGCAACCCTGTGCACGTCAGAATAAATGGTTTGGAATGGTAGATTTGGGGAAAGTAGATTGCCAGTCCTTTCTTCTGAGGTATCTCTGGGTGCTCTCAAACCTACAACCTTTCCGTCAGCAATTTCCTATATATTCTACCCAGGGTGTCTCCTGACTAAAAATAGCCCCTCAGAATACATGCATACAAATAGAGATTTAGTACAAATCTTGTCTGGAAACGTTTCATGGCTACTTTAGCCTTACAGAAAATTTTTAGACTTTGTCAAATCGGGTGGCTTTTTAAAACATTTTAAATTCAGAAATGGAGTAGAACATCTGATACTGCAGAGGACCAGAACATACTTGGTACAGCGCAGGTGCATTTTTTTATCCCCTGGAGACTTTCAAGTTATTGCATTTTCAGATAGTAAGATGTTTGCTTGCTTTATATCAGAATGATTATGTGGGTGTTTAAATCGTGTTTTCTTACACTGAATAGTGGAATTCAATCAAGAAACAATAGCATTCATATTTTTGCTGAGTAAAAGGTTCTGTGATGTAGAGATAATTTTCCATGAAACAAGATGGTAGATGGGCTCCAGGAATCTACGGCAGGTGGTAGTAGAATCAAGACAGAGTCCCTGAGACTCCAGCCCTGGTCATGTCTTACTGACTTTGTGCCCAGGTGTAGGGTGGCCTTGCGTTTGTGGAGAAATGCAACTCTGATCACGTGGAAATGGTGTGGTGGGCAGAGTTCACATCCAATCCCAATTTGGTTTTATCATTTTAGACAGAGAGAAGCACTGGTTTAAAGTGGATGAGGAACTTTTCTGTTTAAATCTAAAGAGTTTGCAACTAGGCGTGTGATTTCTTTGGTCTCTCCTTTTTCTTAATAGATGAAGGTGCTTTTAAAGAAAGCACATTGGAAAAGTTTCATTCCATTTCATCCCAGTATTTTCGAAGCCCCTTTACCTACAAAGACTGCTCTCATGGAAGTCCTGGTTTCTCTTCCCGCATGTCTCACTCTGACATTTGAGAGCAGTATGACTCTGGGTTCAATCACTTTAGGTGTTTCATTTGTCACAGAGAGGAATGAGGAGAACACTTCCCGTTTAGCAGGCTTGTGGGAGGATACAAATAAATTTACTTGTAATATGATACCAGATAATCGTATGCACTAGGTATGAAATGATGGTTCTCATCCATTTCTCTTGATTTGGAGAATTTTTGAAGAGCTCATGAAATCTCATTTCCATCACCCTAGTTTACTCCAATTCCTCTCCCCTCTTCCTTCTCCTCTATCATCGTCCTCACTGACATCATTTTCTGAAGACCTACAATATGCTGGGTACCATTCTCAGACTTGTCCATGTGCTCGCTCATTGACTCCTGATGACATTACGCGGTATGCACCACAATTATCCTCATTTAGCAGAGGAGTGATTTGAGGCTTCAAGGTTAATGTAACTTGCTAGAGTTAAGAGCAAGGAAGAATCAGAACTGGAACTAAATACTGGTCAGCTCACTGCCAAACCTGAGTCTAAAAATGGCAAATAATCTGTTGCTAAGTTAAAAATTGGTGTAACCTCTTGCAGGTTTTCAGATCATGGGACTGTGAGCCTCATGGTATCACGTGGCATGCCTGCACTGTTACAGATAAACTGTATTCTGCATATGGTCTCAGGAAATGCATGGCTCCTTAGAGTCCATCAGAGAAGCTTGTGCAACAAACCGGGTCACCAGCAGGTAAGGATTGCTCCATTTATCTCGAAATCCCAGCCTCCAGCTAAGGGACTAGGGGAGCCACGGCCATGTGTCACTTGGACTAGCTCCAGAGTATTTGCCTGAGGATTTCATTTTTTGTATAAACTCTTCTGATATTTTATTAAGCTATATTCTTACTATATCACTCATTGTAAAACTATCTTTGAATGTCCCATGCTATATTTTTTATATCTTGGCACCTTGTTCTAATTCCCCTATCAATGGATGTATTCTATATCTAGAATATAGTTTCACCTTTGTATCACCTTCATTAACCTCTACTAATGCAAATGACTGGGAGCGGGGGGCAGGGGCAGAAGATGTTTAAATTTAGCTAGACAAATTCTGGCCAATAATTCTTTTCTGTATAAACAGTCAAACTTGAGAAGAATGGGTTTTCCATATGCAAATTATGAATGACTGAAGCTAGTCGCAACACTTATCCAGTGCCTGAACTTGATGCTCTTCTTAATGACTTAAACCTCAAGGGCAAGTGAGGCCGGATTCTTGCCATCTGTTTTGTGACCCAGGTGGGAATTACTAGATGATGTAAATCTGAACACTGCTTTGAGAGGACTATGCTGCATGGGAAGAGAGGGGGACCATATTGTGCACTGTCATGGTATGTTTATGTGAAGAGTTGGAACACTGACTTTTATCATATGTGACTGACAAACCCACAGCATATAAAAATGGAAATAGAGGGAACAGACTACAGTAAGGACTTTGTTTCTGAATACTGTATCTAAGATCTTTGTCTCACCCGGACCCAATAGCTGTGTCAATGTGAACTATGCTCTTTAGGTGAACTGCAAGTGACTGGTGAGCGACTAAAATAAATGGAACAACAAAAATGTGTGTTACATCATTGCCGACAGATTGCCTATCCCTCAGAATGAACGGCGGTCTTCTGATTTTTCTGACCCTTTAAAGGTAGGAAGGCAGAGAATGACTCATAACGGGCTATCGTATATTCGTTCTCAAATAAGGTCATCATGAAAAAATCTCCCTTTTGTCAAAATGAATTAGCGTATTCACCCTACATGTTGTGTCTTAATAATTATAAAGTTAGAGAAGAATGGAAGGATCCTCTTTATTGTAATATCTTGGACATCGAAGCACACAGAGTAGTGAAATCATGCCTCTTCAAGTTGTAGGGGGACAGATCTGCTCTCTTATTGATTTCAGATTTAACTAATAAAGTACAGGGCTCTGTGAACACTCATTTCAGGCAATTCAAAGTTATTACTTGTGCATCACGATCTTCCTTATCATATTATTTCCAACTGTTATTCTCACTTGAGAGGTACCCAGTGTCCACTTGTACTTCGTACTGGTGTGACGAGGAGGTCTGGCGGATTCCAGGGCTCAGCACTCACTGTGAACGGACAGGTGGGTGGTTTAAACCCACAAGCTGCTCTGCAGAGAAAGATGTGCTCGTCTGTTTCTGTAAAGATGCTTGCCTTGGAAACCCTATGGGGAAGTTTTACTTTTTCCTATAGGGTTGTCATGAGTTAGAATCCACTCCAAGGAAGCTGATTGTCTACACAAAAACATCTCCAGTTTATTTAGAATGTATGACACTATACCTTTATCACTAACTTACATTAACTGTTAGTTGTGACAAAGGAATATTGCCCTTCACAATTGTTTAATATATAACCTGCATAAAGCACAAAAGATTGATTATGAAGGGGAGGTGCAATGGTATACATTCAATGAATTGCAAAATTTTAGAGCAGTTTCAAGAAAACTATAATTGCAGATATACACTATCTACTCTTATTCTGCATACATTCTCTGGGGAAAGAAACAATACAAGTGTTTATAAGCCAATCTAAAGCTTATTAAATCAAGTTTTAAATACATAATGAGACCGTGAAAACAAAGTATCTATTATGAAGCAATATGAAAAGAGTACAATTTAAAATTTTTAAATAAATTCTTAGATTGTATAGAGATGCCTTATTACAGAAACAGATAATTTGCAAAGAAGAGATTATTAAATACTTACATATGGTGTTAGATGTTTTTTCTTTACTTACTTAACATTTATAGCAAACAGACATGAATCCATGTTTTATATATTTATAATCTCATAAAGAAAATGAAGCAAGAAATCTCAACATTTGCTTTCTGCCCCGAAACCAATAATAGGAATCCAGTCATTTTATGGGCCAGGCTTGCTAATAATTAGAATTTACAATTTTAATATTTTTTTGTTTATAGGTTAACTTCCTTATTTATAATGGGAGTGGCAATACAACAGACAAGGAGTACCTGAGCAGCTGGACTCATCAAGTTGGAAGTGAAGGCAATTGGCAAATCCGTCACAGCGCTGGTGTACTGGGATGCAGCTGTTCGAGGAGGGGCATGTCAGCGCTCCATGAGAACAACTCACATTGGCTGAAAGAAAGGAGATAATGCTCCTGGTTAAAAGCATGTTTGTTTTGTTCTCAGTGATGTACTACTACATTCAGCTTATTGTATTAGCCTTCATTTATTTTAGGACTGTATTTAAACAGCACAGCTCTTTTGGAAGAAAACGTTAACTTAATGGAAGTGTTTCATAAGGTTGAAAAAGAATTCAAAGAAAAAATTGTCAATAGAATCATTTCCCAGATGTGCATCATGTAGCTTGTATTACACATGCACTGCAATACATTTTATGTACTATGCTATCTGGATTGATTTTAGGATGGGGCAACTTCTACTTCAAGGAAGCTCTCTGAGCTTCTGCTGTACCCTTAATCTTTCTCATCTAATGTCTGATCAAGTGGATGAGGAGTGCAAATCATTTGAATGCACGTACACATCCAACTGGGATACAGGTAAGTCACATAGAGTCACTGGGCATCTTTTAGGTCTGGGTGATGATGTGATCACTTCTGATGTACTGCGATCAAATGTCTTTATGATAAGGCATGGTGTCGGTATTCTAGTACTCTTAGCCTTAGCCTGACTCCAAAGAATTGATGGATTCATAAAATCAGAATGCCATTGCCCATAAGACTAGTCATCTAATATTTTAAATAGAATGCCTTTGTATAAGGTTTGCTGCTAAAAACACAAAACAAAACAAATTACTTTCCACTTATGGCAACCTCATGTGTTGCAGAGAATGACTGCTCCAGAGAGGGCTGTCTTGCCTGTAATCTTTGTTGAATCGGATTGATGGGTCTTTCTTCTGAGGTGCTCCTGGGTGGGACTGAATGGCAGTTTAACCTTTAGGCGAGTAGATGCTTGTTCATTCCTTATGCAATTTTTACTTGCTACTTGGACTAATTCATGAACATTGACTTTATTCTTTGCTGAACAATTAATTACGTAATCATGTGTCTGTATGCCTCCTGTTCTCTAGTTCTGCTTCACGCCCCCTCCCCTCAAGGGTTATGGCTTTGTATAAAGTAGTAGTGTTTTTAGACTTCTTTTATGAGTAAGGTCCTCATCAAAACTTCTTGTTGGTGGTCACCATCTTGTTTGAAACATGCTTAGTCTTAGATCTTCCACTTGCACCAGGATGTGAAGTGTGAGTACCTGGAAGCCAGCAGGCCTGGTGCTTCAGTCCTGAACTCTCTTTTGTGCTTTTATTCCCTGACTGTGGTCCATGCAGATGTTTATCTTGTTTATTGGCCTTTTATATGTAAGGCTATGCTACTTTATCATTGTTATTTCAGAGCAGAGGGAATATGTTAAGGCATGAACCCACAGCACTATCTGGTCAGGAAGTCTGTGTAGATTTCAAAACCATGAAATGATAATGGTATGGATGGACACTCATTTCCATCCCCACCTGCCCGCCCCCTGCGCCTTCATTCTGTACCTCAAAGTCTTAGAGTCTGGCAACTGTTCGTGAAAGGTCACAGTGTATGGGCAGCACCACTGGCCCTTACCCCGGGATCGACAAGAACCTCTCTGCTTTGATCTAATTTGTTTGAGGATGTCATATACAGTATCTTATTTGAACATTTATTTTGATCTTGCAACTGAACATTTGAAAAGGACTGACCTGAGCAATTAATTGTACTAGAATAAAGACAACTAGATTTCAACCTTTTTAAAGCAAAACGATCATTTTGCAGGCTCAGGAATAAATATGTCCATATTTGGGCAGATTGTCCAGTTGTGCTACAACTTAGTCTGTGCTTAAGAGATAGAGATTTGAAAGAATTCTTTATTTGAGGTGTCATAAGTTACTGACACAACTTAGTTTGAGAACTGTCTATCAAAATGTATTTTAAAGTGAGATAAAATGATAGGTATGCGTATTTATTCTCATTGACTAAAATACACTGGGCCTGAAAAAGGTTAGTGATACTCTTCATTGATCAAGCCTTCCTAAAGTGTGAAAACATCAATTCATACAAATAATATCACTGAGCCACCAGCTCATGTAAAACACTAACTATGCTTCCTGGAGTGGAAGAGGCAATGGAAAACTTTTTCAAAGGGAGGATTGGAACATAGGCAAAAACAACATAAAAGTAACAAAACGAGTAATTATTAGTTTAGAATAGTAGAAAAAAATGCTATAAGCCTGACTCAATTTAGTTGGCGAAGCATTATTATAGATTAGAGGCATTGTAAAAACAATTTTTCCTTTTAATGTCTGCAACTTGATTTGAAGCCAAAAGTAAGAGTAGAGTTTTGAAATATGTTTAAAATTTTAATGTTTACCGAGAAAGAAAACATTTAGCAGTGTAGGAATAAGCGAATATTTTTAATTAAAGGAGTACCACTTCTGTTTGCAAAGGAAGACAATGTTCCTAATAGAGATCATAATAAATATGAATTCGTTTTAAATGTTTAACTCATCACAGGTTTGTTCTAAACATACCAATCACTAGAAAAGCTATTTCTGGAGGAATGAATGTCTTTGAAATATCAGTTGCTATTGATTTTCCCAATGACAGGTGTAAACATCCAAGAAAACTCCTTCCTATCTACACTAAACACATTTAAGCCTTTCCCAAACAAGCAAATGTACACATCTTTTTTATTCTACCCAACACCCAGCCCACTGCCATCAAGTGGATGCTGACTCACAATGGCCTTAGAGGACAGGGTGGAACTGGGACACTGAGTTTCGGAGACTGTAACTCTAAATACAAATCTATGGAAAGCCTTATCTACAACTCATTCCTCTTGTTGTCATTTCCCATTTGCTCTTAAAAAACCTGACCTCAGAAGTCTGCCCTCTCACTCCATAGAATGTGCTATCCTCCAAGATCACCAAGGAGGACTTTCATTCCAAATCCATAGATTTTTAACCCTAAACTTGCTCCATCTATCAGGTACATAGAAATCCATGAATACTCTTTGTTCTGTAAGCCTTTCTACCATTGACTTCAGAACGGTCACTGTATTGGGGTTGACCTCCCATGTTCGTGACCTTGTCTTCACAGTGTGTTTCAGGGTTTCTTCAAAGTTCCCTGGGATTCTGCCCACTGCTTGATCTTTTTATCTGTCTCTGTTGTCTCAGCTTTATCCATCACTTCAATAATAACATGCCGAGGGCCACACTTCTTTCTATACCTTGTTTCACCTAATCCTTTTGCTCCAGATATTCCTTACTGGCCACACACTGGACATTTCCCTGTGGCTGTGTCAAAGATCACTCGAAGACGACAAGTCTAAAATTAAGGCTCTAACCTTCTCCAGGAGGTCCCTTTCCCAGTTTCCTTACCCAAGGGCATGCCACATGAACCTAGACCAGAAACTTGGAACATTTCTGATCCCTTTCTCTTCTTCATTAGTATATACCTTTATAGTCTGTGACTTATTTTTATCTTAGCTCATTATCTCATCAATATCCGGATACGCCAAGGGCAAGACCCTCTCCTAACCACTTTCTCACTCCACTCTCTTCCATACAGCAGTAAACTCAGCTCTATGACCCTGGCAGAGAGGATGAAGCATTTGCATGGCTTAGTTCCTGCTTATTTCTCTAGACTGAGCGCTGCAGTTCTGACCTTAAATTCTAAGAACACAATAAAATGTGCCATTCAAACAATTAGTTATCTTTTTCTGGAACATTCTTCATTTCAGATCAGTATCTCTACATTACCATATGTTTCTAATCACTGCTTGTCTTTCCAAACTGAGCTCTGAAATGACCTTCCTTGATAAACTCCACAGACTTCCGCACTGGAGTCAGGAAGTAGTCTATGTGTTCTTTAAGATTGTGTGTTATCTTTGTAATAGAACTTTTCAACTTTCACTCCCTGGTATCCTTCAGGCATATAGAAGATAGCCACCAGATGAGATTAAGCCATCTCTATTGGCATCGTTAAGGCCCAATTTAATACGTGGCATAAATTAGCTTCTTAACAAAGTTAATATGTTATGAATAAATGAATGAGAAATGTGAGTTAACAAAATGTCATTCCAAATCAATAGGAGAGTCCAGTCAAAAAACCAATCTGCCTTCAAATGTTTGGTGACTGTGACCACTGCGCGATTTTATTCTGTGATTGTGTATGGTATCTCCTTCTAGTTTCTTTTTACACAACTTATCCTACAGAGGCTTCCATGAATTCAGTTTTAGAGGTGGATGAGCAATTATCTCGTGGTACCAATCTACACATAATGCACACTTCATTCCTTTTAGGAGCCAAGCGTCACATGGTAATACCTAGTTAAACTCCAATTTTCCAAATAATGACAAAAAAATTATCGTGATAGACTAGTTTCCTAACCTTCTCTTTCAATGGCATTCTTATGTGAAGGCAAATATCACATGACGTCACATCTTGAACTTAATAAAATTTCCATCAGACAAATTGCCTTAGACCCCTGATGGGAATAAGGATAAGCAATTTTGTTGGTCTTCTCATCTTCATTCTCCATTTATTTATCTTCCTCTGGAAAAACATATGATTAGATGTGACAAGTTGGCTTTATTACAGCCACACACAACACATTTAGGAAATTACACTGAGGTGTAAAATGATGACTAAACTTAAAATAAGGAAGAAGCTTCATTGATTTCAGGCTAAAGTCTTTAAACACCTGAAAATTCTCTCTCTTTTACCTTCATTAGTTGTTACTCTTTTCCCACTAGTTCTCGTAATTCTGTACTCCCACATTAAACAGGGTCTGAACTAGCTTTATAATTCTCTCAGTGTCCCACTTTCTACATGCCAAACTTTTTTTCACGATGGAAAAACCTATATAGCGTGACCAATTCCATATGGTTTATGGAGTTTTCTCTCTATAATCTCACCAGAAAACCTAAGCCAGTATAATGTGATATAACAGAATGCAGCATAATATAGCAAATAACTAAATAACATGTTATCATTGTTTTTATTCCACGGTACTCAATTCTGACTTATAAGACTTGTGTCATTACTTGTTCTCAATTGACATTTTCATTTCCTGTCTGTCTAGACTTGTTATGACAAAAGCAGCAGGTGATGAAGGCATAAGGTAGAGAATGGGGCATTTTACCAACATTCCTTCTAATCTTCACTGCTTTAAGAAGTAGGTATTATTGACATCATCACATAGGATGATGAAATTGATATTAACAGGGCTCAGATAACTTTCCCAACCCTGTGCAGTGACTGGCAAGAATGACATTCAGACCTGTGTCTTTAGGACTGGCTGTTCCACGAGGACTCGATGACATGACAGCCACTCACATCACTGTCCAGGCTCAACTCCTGACGACATGCATTCATGGAAATAAATATTTGCCTAAAGTCTTCTGCAGGCGCCATCTTCTTAAATTTAGAGTGGGGAAATTATCATTGCACATATCCAATCTATTTCCACACTTATTTGTTTACAGAGGAAACAAGTGTGTAGGCCCGTCTCCGATATAAGTGACCAGGTTATGATGATAAAAAAAAACCAGGAGAGTGTAGCAGAGATCAGCGTGCCTACCAATGAAATGTTTTCATAAACTGTAAGGGTTACATACTTCATTTAGCCATGACAAAGTAAGTTACTGATGATGCAATCACGGTAAGACCCTAGAGAACTTTGCTTCATCTGCCAAGCTCTCACTATCATTTCGAACAGCATTCCGTCCTGGCACAATGAGCTGGGAGAATAACTCACAGCAGCTGGATTCGTCTTCATTCCAGGGACAGTCAGACACTCCATCACACAGCAGGAGGGATGGGATACACTTGTCTGTCGTGCACCGGAACTCCATTGTACCGCAGAGTTGAGGAGCAGGGCTGAGAGGACAATCCATTTCATCAGATCCATCCGTGCAATCTTCCCGGCCACTGCACTTCCCTGAGAAAGGGACACACTGGGGTGTGTAGATACAAGAAAATTGATCAGCTTCACAAGGTGACGGCTGTGGTGGGGCAGGGCCTGAAAAACAGAGCAAGTCATTTTGTCATTAGCAGAGTTATCTCTCTGTCTAGTTCTAAACCATCGTAGAATGCATATATTCTTAAGCAAACTTGAGGTGCAATTGAAGTCAATCTTAGGTTAGGGTTAGTCCCCAACTAAGATGACCATGAATTCAACCAAACATGTACAGCTGATTAGATATGATGCCATATTTAATCTCAGAATCAACTGTCTTAAACAGGGGAGACAAATGGATATTTTCAAATAAAGAATGGAAATTTATTTGTTCGTATGTCCCAAATTTTCAGATTTTCCTGGTAAAAATATGTTTACCTAATTAAGCAGCCAGTCTAAAAGTTTTACTCACAATTTTAGAATTCACAGAAGTTGCTATTTTAACATTCTACCAGTTTATTGTCTGTTGGTGGCCTCTATTTGGAGAATCTGGCTTCTGAGACTCTGGGCAGGCTTTAGTCACAAAAGTGGAAGTCTGCCATTACTTTATCACAGTTGTTCACAAAAGCTACATGCTACCATATCTTAAGTGTACCAAAAAATCATAGTTTAATTTAGGAGTACTGAGCTAGACAGAATCTTGAAGATATTGCTGTTGTAAGCTACATGCTACCATATCTTAAGTGTACAAAAAAATCGTTTCATTTAGGAGCATTGTGCTAGACAGAATCTTGAAGATATTGCTGTTGTAAAGTGCCCTTAAGTTAGCTCCAACTCACAACGATCCTATTTGGCATAAAGGGAAACATGGCCCTGGCCGTGCCACCCTCACGGTCATTGTGATGTCTGAGTCCAGTACTGAAGCTACCGTGTCAATTCATCTTGCTGAGGGTCTTCCTCTTTCTCGCTGATGCTGCACGTTACCAGACATAATGTCCTTTCCCTGAATTTTTCTCTCCTAGTAACGTGTCAGAAATATGCAAGATGAAGTCCTCCCATCCTGACTTTCAAGGAACGGTCTAGAGGTACTTCTTTGAAGTCAGACTTGTTTGTTCTTCTGGCTATTCGTTTGTCACTGGGGGTCATTGAGCCGTTCTGACTCATAGTAAGCCTACGTACAAGGGAATGAGACACTGCCCAGTTCGGAGAAGTTATACAAACTGTTGCTAAGCTTTAGCCCATAGTTGCAGTCGCCGTGTCAATCTAACTTCCTGAGGGTCTTCCTCTTTCCCCTTTTTACTGCCTCTCTACTTTACCAAGCATCATGTCCTTTGCCAGCAATTGCTCTTTCCTGATTACACTTCCACAATATGGAAGGTGAAGCCTCGCATTCTGCTTCTAAGGAGTAGTCGGCTGTATTTTCTCCAAGACAGACCTGTTTGTTGTCTTGGTGGTCCACGGCATTTTCAATATTCTTCAACGTTCAGTTGCCTCATAAGCATGTGAAAATTGGACACTGAATAAAGAAGACTAGATTGGATTTTAATTTTCTTTAACTTTAACCTGAACTTACATTTGACCAACTGATTGTCTGCTCTCTACTGTAGGTCCCCAGCTTTATTTTGGCTGATAATATTGAATTTCTCTATTACAGAAGTAATTAGTTTGATTCTTGTATATTTTAACTGGGGAGGGCCTCCTATAGAGGCGGCATTTATGTCATTGAGGGGAAAAAGATGTTTTCAGTGGAAAAGTCATTGTCTTGCAAAATCCTATCTTACAATCATGTTTATTTATTTATTTATTATTTTAAATAAACTTTGTCATATTTTTCAACTACTACTTCCTTTCTGTATCCAACTTTTGCATCCTCATCACCAGTAATTATCCACGAATTCCGATCGCAAGTTCTATCAATTTCAGACTGATAAAGCTGGGAGAATTTGTCAAATTTTCATCATTGGCTGCAGTTATTGGTGCATAAATTTGAATAACAGTTGGATAATTTGAATAACAGTTGGATAAACGAATCTCCCTTGTAGATATATAGATTTGATGATCTCGTAGACAGTGTTGTACTTCATGACAGATCTTGAAATGCTAATTTTGAAGAAGACTGTGGCCCCATTCCTCTTGAACTTGTCATTTGTGGCACAGTAAACTATAAGGTTATATGATTAAAAAGCTCGATACAATCTAGTTCTGCCCACTAATGTCTATAATACTGATTTATATGCATTCCGTGTTATTTTTGCCAACTTCAAATTTTCTTAGATTCATACTCATACATTCAAGGTTTGGACATTCCAGATTCTGATTAGTAACGCATGTTTGCAACTGTGTCTTGTCATTTTGAGCCATGGCCCATCAGCAGCGGAAGGTCCTGATGGCTTGGCTCTATTCCTGTCATTCAGAGGGACTATTCAAAGAGCCCCTTCCTCCCTACTCTTACTCTGAGTACCTTCTAACCCGGGGGCTTCTCCTCAAGCCCTATATCAAATAATGTTCTGTGCTTAGTCACAGAGTTGCAAATGACTAATTTCTCAAACTGGGATCACTCTTTCCTAACTTTCTTTCAATTTGGAACCTCTGCTGAAACCCGTTCACTATACTGAACCCTGTGACCCTGCTCAAATTTGAACTACTAATAGCATCGCATTTAGCATCACAGCCACCCAAAGTTACCACCGTACAATAAACTGACAGGTAAGTGGGGAATCATGATATTCTTGGTCAAATCTAAACAACTCTTCTTCTGAGTCCAACATATTTCAAGTATACAAGAATAATGCTAATTTTATCAATTGTTTATTAACAAACTATTGTGCAGCAAAGGGTTGATGTAATAGTCCAACCATAACTTTAAGCCAAACTTAGAGCTCAGGCAAAGAACATTGGCTCCATGGCATTTCTGAAACTCAGAGAATCATTTAAGGCTGCAGAAGAATTGATGTATTTTAATTGTGGCATTGGCAAAGAACACTGAAAAATGATTATATAGGTTTGCTTTAATTTTATGAAACATTATTAGTGGGATGGTTATTTTATTCCATGTTTTGTCTAGGTTATATAAGGTACACCTCAGTATATATCAAGGGAAAAAAATAAACTCAGATGGCAGTGGTGACTACCAAAACAATTACTTCTGTTATTTATAGGTTATATAAGAAAATTGAGCCCTGGTGGCCAAGTGGTCCGTGGTGGGCTGCTAACTGCAAGGTCAGCAATTTGAAACCACCAGCTGCTCCACAAGAGAAAGACAGGGCTTCCTACTCCCATAAAGTTACAGTCTCAGAAACCCACAGGGGAAATTCTGCCCTGTCCTTATAGCATTTTTCTAATCCAAAGCCATCTCAGTTTGTGTCTTTTCATAGGAAAATTATATTTTGTAAATACAAATGGTGCTGTGAATTCATTTTTAAAGTGAGATTGCATTGGCCCTCTCTTGTCGCTACTCAGCCAGGGGTGATCACATTTCTGGAAGGTATTTACTCTCAGACTTCCTTCCCAGAGCCATGTACCTGAGACCTCTGTGGTGATGCTTAAGCAGAGGGTGCTCCTGGAGTCCAGGAGTTTAACTGGAGATGGGCTAAATACCTGCCCTTGAGATGATATCACTAATCTGAGATGGTAATGGTCAAACTGTATATACAGGTTCAATGTTCCACATATCAGGGGACTTCAAGAAGATCATGGGGAAAATTTCATCATTTTCTAATTCCATTTTTACATGAAAATTTTGAAGGGCCCTTCTAAATTCAAACTTAGAAAGAAATTGCATTTAACTTTTATACCCATTTAGATAACTCTTCTAGAGTTTAACCAGAGTCAAATAAATGATTTCTCTCCAGTTTTTTCATATACTAATTTCATACATAGGGAAGGTCTTGTTGTATTGTTCTCAATTACTTTCAAAACAATTTGGCTCATTGAAAAACTATGAGTACAGAACTTCTTTCTAGATTTTGAAGAGTATGAAATTGAGGGAGCAAATTGGAAAACCTATCTTTCAAAGCAACTCTGACGGGGTTTGAATCACTCACCTTTCCGTTAACTATTTGTGCTACCCAGGGATTCCTTAGGAATTGTTTTCTAAAGTAAGTTATGCATTAAATTTTATTCTTATGAACAGTTTTAATGTTCTTTCTAAATATGAGGAATATGAAAAATAGAACCAACTTTAGTAACATATCTCTCATTTAGCTTATTAATTTTTCAGAAGTATATTAAAGGAAAAGTAATTTTCTCTGTTCTAAGAAAAGCACAGAATTTGTAGACTCCCACTATTTATAATAGCTTACTTTTTTTTCTTTAAAGTTTCCCTTCTATTAGTTATGCGATAGTAAAAACTACCTGGTGTTACTAATTCCCTAAAACTACACACACACCCCTAGAAACAGAATCTTTAATTGTTTAGTGAATACGAGGTGGTACCCCCCCCCACCCAATGGGAAAAAAGTTCCACTGGGTGGAGCTTTCATGGTATGCATTTTCCCCACTGTATGAGCATCAAGAAACTCCTTCTAAGTTAGTGCACCCAATGGTGTCCCCTGGGAAGATCCTCTCTGGTCAGTGAATTTTTTCATAAAAGCAGTTTCACTTGAATCTCGTTTTTTTGTGATGGCTGATTTAAGAGAATAGCATGTAGCTGTGAAATTTTGTTTCCTGCTTGGGGGTGGGGGTATGCCACAGAATCTGCTGTGATGTTGAATACAGCTTACAAGGACAGCGCTATGGGAAAAACTCAAGTATAAGAATGGTTTTCTTGTTTCAAAAGAGCTGAAATGTTGATTGATGAAAAACCTCATTATGGATGTCCATCAACTTCCCAAAGGGATGAAAATGTTAACTCATAATGCATTTGGAGCTTGTTTACTAGGTCAAACTTCTAATCAAGCTTTATATTTAGAAGTTCTTAAAAGATTGTGAAACAGTGTGTCACAGAAGAGGCCTGATTTGTGGCAGACTGGGGACTGGTTTTACCACCACAACAATGCACCTGCTCATGCAGCTATCTCAGTGCACCAGTTTTTGACAAAAGAAAACCCCAAAACAGCATGCCTCTCTTGCCCCACACACCTTACTGACACGATCTCGCTCCATGCAACTGCTTTTTGTTTCCA